GGGGCCGGGAAGGGGAGAGTGGGGGAAGGTGGAGGGTATAAGGGGATAAATGGTGATGGATGGAGGCTTGACTTGTGGTGGTGAGCACACAGTACAGTGTACAGATGATGCCTCGTGAAGTTGTGCACCTGAAACCTATATAATTTTGATAACTAGTGTCACCCAATAAATTCAATAAAAAGGAAAAATAAATTCCAGATTTGCTTAACAAGTCACCTGTGACAGTACCTGGAGGTCAGGGAGGTTAGGTGGCCTGATAACAGCAGTGCCATGGTGCCGAAATCCGAACCAGCGGGAGATCTGTTAAAACAGATTTTTGGGCTCCACCATCCGGAGCCGCTGGTTCAGGTCTGCAGTAGGGCCTGAAATTTTGCACCTTGAAGAAGTTCACACATGAAGTGGAGCTGATCTGGCTGGGGCGGGGGCCATGCTTGAGAACCACTCACTTGGATGAATTCTCCTGACTATTGAGATGAGTGTTGAGTGTACGTAAAGCTATTGCATTATTTTTCTGATAATTTAGAATCTCACATATCCCTTTTCTCTAATTTTTAAGCCATACCTTTAAAACTAAGTGGATCTAACATGCATCTTTGTTTTTCTGAAAATTTTTATAAGCTTTTCTGAAGAATTAGGTCAGCAGGACTTCCTTCCCCCAATTTGATTAATTTACAGGAAAACATACTTTTGCTCCCTCTGTTCTCAACTGTCCGCTAATGTTTGTAAATAAAATTGGAACAGATGAACTATTTGGCTTTAGTTGATATTCCATTGTGCTAATGAAATGCAAGATTTCATAAAAGTGGGGGAATCCGTGTTTATATAATGTGATGTGATTGGATGTTTTCCTAAGTGCTGATTATATTAGCCAAATTTTATAGGTTCTTCCCTCTGTGGTTCATTTCTTATAATTTTGGGAAATTCATTAGAATGTGAAACTCTGGGAAACAGTATTGGGGTATGCTCAGTATATGTATCCTTATACCTCTTTTAATTCAGGCATTTCAGGTATTTATAAAAATAAATTTTTTTTGTTTTACTTTCTCTCTTGCTTGCAGGATGAAATGGTCTCCCTGGCATGAAAAAAGTGTTTACTTGTTATGATGTAACAATTCACTGAACAGAGACAAAATCATGGCTTTTAATGACTGTTAGGTTTCAAAAAGCCTAAATTTGGGAAACACTTTTAGGATGCTAAAAGGTGGATATAAAATAAGATGGTTAAATAATTTGAGCATAAAAATGTAGAGGTATACAACTAAAAGTTATTATACTTTTTTGACAGTTACCTAAAAATACACATTTTTTGATGTTCATTTTAAATAGGTAGACACTAAAGTACCAAATAATTTCAAGTAATAATTCCATTTTTTATTTTGTAATAACTCCATTGTTTTTTAAAAAAAATTAACTTATCTTTATTGTTGAAAGTAGTACAGATGTCTCCCCCCCCCATTGATCCCCTCTCTGTTCCCTCCCCCTCCCCAGGCTTTCATCCACTATTGTCTGTGTCCATGGGTTATGCATATATGCATATTCTTAATGAAAGCGCTTTATTTTGGTTTTAAAATGCAAGTCTTGGGAGGCAAAACTAGATCCAATAGGATGATCAATATTCAAGTAAAACTAAAAATAAATATTAAAAGGATTGATGTAAACTTTGGTCACATTTACTTTGAAGATAAGAATAGTATCCTATTCTCGTGAGTACACAGTACACAGTTATTTTATAACTTAACTACCTGCTGTCATATATAGATTTACTATTTGTATAGTCACTTTATGAATTTCAGAATAAGTTATTTGATGTCAGGAAAAGTGAATATCAATAATCTAGGAGTAATTTTTTTTCCTGTTTGCATCTAATATGCTTTAATATGTAATATATACAATTATTTTATAACCATGTCTAAAAATGGAATTCTTTCTTTTTACGCTAAAAGGGAGAAGCAGGACCTCCAGGTGCTCCGGGCCAGGATGGATCACGGGGAGAGCCTGTAAGTACCTTCTCAATTCAGTTCTAAGGGATGAAGTTCTTTTCTTTTCATGAAGTCTCTCGACTACTTACACTCTCCTCCCAGGCGCCCTATTCTTCTTCAGTGGCTTCCAGATTCGGAAATTGTAGGACTCTTTGTGGAACGCTTTAAAATAGTGAAATATTTGATCAGCTTTTACAACCTAGGGAGAATTTTGCTAGCAGGAAATGTATGTGCAGCATGAATCACAAGCAGTCCTGCCCACACAGGCGAGCATGTAGCACAGCAGCATGGTCTCTCGATGAGCCTTAGTCAATGTCACTTTGTCACTTGCTCATTGCTTTGTAGTATGCTCGCTGGGATTATATGTTCAGTAAGAATCAAGGTTAAGAAACACATGATTGTAAAAGTAGTGAATCTGAATCCTAGATTCATGTATTTGTAGCAAGTGTGCCATATGACTCAACTTCAGATGAGTTTTGGAAATACAGTTTTTTCCACTTTTTATTCCTACAACTCATGGCCAACTTGGCCAACATTTAAATACCAGCAGATTTTGTTTTATTTTTCAAAATTGCCTATCTTCAGGGAATTTTCAGTTAGTTTTGGGGGGAACTAGGTCAAGAAATTAAATAATAGCCAGTATCTGTTGCAGTGTATCACAGTGTTCAGTTGAGTGCTCAGAATCTAAATATTGGGCATAAGAGGGATCACTGAAGCTTCTTAAATGAGGTGGAGGAATTGAACTACTCTTAGAATCACTCAATCAGATATTCATTGAATTCTCATATTGTGTATTTTGGTGCACTGGGGCAAGTTTCTCTACATAGCATGAGTTTATAATCTAGTTTGGGAGATAAAAAGTGGTGCAGACCAACCTGAGGCAGATTATAGTAAATGCCAGATATGGGTTTAACATGGAATGAGAAGCCTAGGGCTTGAAGATAGTCTCTGCCACATTCCAGCTGTGTGAGCTGGGATAAGTCACTTCACATCTTGCAAGACCTTTCTCCTCATTGAAAAAGTGTACTTGTAGTGCCTACTTCATAGATTTGTTGCGAGGCTTACAAAGGACATGTGAAAAAATTGTGAAAACATTGCACAAGTGCTTGGGGTTATTCAAAATGCTGAAGGAGCTTAGAAAGGGAATCTTGATTCATGGGGTGACTGAGAAATTTTTACCAAGGATTTAGGGCTAGATTTAGTCATGAAAGGGTGACTGGGGATGAAAGGAAGCCAAAGGAGGAACTAGTATGAGTGAAGACACACAGGTAAGTTGGTTAAGGGTGAGCCCAAGAAATAATGAAATGACCTTATGAGGTCGTGTGAAGAAGGGTCCTCGTTGGGTGGCAGGAAGTAAAGTTAGGAAGGTTGATTAGGACCCTGTGGAGACCCTGGAATATGAATTTGGGAAGCAAACTTGATTCACTTGCCTTGAAAATTTTGCAAGAACAGAAGAAGAACATGTGAAAAGTAGTGCTTTAGAGGTGGTTATGAGCTACTGGTATATGTAGAACAAACAAAAGGAGAGGCAACAGGAATCAGGGCAGTGATTAGCTGGCTGTTTTGACAGACCAGGCCCCTGAAAATAAGGTCTCAACTGGGGTTTCAGTGGAATGGGGAGAATTCAGTAGGGATAGTGTGAGTTCAATATGTCTGACCCATAATTATTATCAAAGTATAATTCTAGGACTAGGTAACTGGATATGAGACTGACTATGTTTATATTTTGGTTTCAGAAAAATAGAAAGTGTGTGTGTTTGTGCACATGTGCACTCACGCCTGTGTGAGTGAAGACAGGGAGGTGAGAGAGAAGGTGAAAGGGGGGAGGGAAGTAGAGACAATGGACATCACAGGCAGATTATCATTTGAGTCGATTGTGTTCTAAATGTTTGTGTCAATTATTTGTAAGCATTAGTGACTAATTTTTCCAAAGAAACAGTGACCAGCAAGTCTCTGTAAACCATAATGCCATGTGAGCAGCATATATTTATTTTGAAATTAACACTACTGTGATCCTGTTAATTAAAGCAAACTGAGATGAAAATGAGTAGAAAATTAGGAGCTCCCGAGGGGAGTTTTCCTCTCCCAAGGCTGCCCTTCCTTATTGTCAGCTGGAAGGACACCAACTTGCGTTTTCTCCTGCCCTGCCTGCTCCTACTTTATTCAAGACTTACCCCTGTCTGGAGCTTTTGCACCAGCATAAATTCTTATACCAGGCAGCGTGGTCCTTCAGATTTCAACCCGACATTTAGTGCATCCGTGGAATGTGGAAGGCGTTGGGTTCAGTGAGGAGAGAAACACTGCAATGCCCCATGGAGGCTTACAACCTCATAGTGGAGGTAGACAGTAAAAGGATTTTAAAAACCCACACAAAGAAACCTAAGCCACAAAGTTCTAAGAAAAAAATCAGAAGCAAGGAGTTGGGGCAGGGAATGATGGCAGTGGGAGAGTGGAGGTTATTTAGATGTAATCTCTCCTCCTAAACCACCAAGATAGAAAACGGAGTTACCAAGTGAGACTCTTCAGTTCCTTTCCCACCAGATCAGAAAATGTAAGAAAGGGTCCCTTATCCCTTTTCTCTCACTTCTCTCTCTTTCCTGCTAAATGGTGGGGAGGGCAGTCAGGTTTCCTGTGCCAGGCGACATACTCTGTTAGGAAAACAATGAATAGATTAGCCTCTAAAATTTACCTGGATACAGTTCTCTTGGTCTTTACTCTCTTCCAGTTAAGAACAATTAACATTACAAACTATCCTGTTAGTTTGACAATTAATGGAAATTTGGTTGTTAGAAATGTCATCCTAGGGAGACTGATCCTTACCCTTTGTGGAGAAGCTTTGAAAACATGAAAAAAATGAGTTGATATACTTGATGATGCCAAGAAATGAAGTCTCTTCCGTTGCATGTGGATGCTGGTTTTAAGTATCTATAATGAAAGATTTGGCCCCACTAAAAAGGTCATGTTCACTATATTATTTGTTCTATAATGTGGCAGCCAAGAAAATTAATGGAGCTTAAGTTGAAAGGACAGAAGCTCTTAGAAGAAATGCTTTAAAGCTAATTAAACACAGCTTATAGCAGCCGGATGATGACTCATCCATGTAAGCAGATTGGTAAATATGAACTAACTCCTGGAATTCAACTTGAGGACAAAGGCTGTATTTTACTGGAAAATAATTATGCTGCTTTAAAGTACAATTACATCCACATGCCTATGCTTTGCATTTGAAAGGCCAGTATTGTCAATCCTAATAGTAATTCAGTCCTAAAGGCAACTTACTTTCTAAGTAGCAAATGATACCCACTCAACTTCTGCTGGATTTATTATAATTGGTTTCAACCATGTTTCACTGTGTTTAAGGATCATAACATTTAAGTCATTCATCCAGTAAGCATTTACTGAGTGTCTGCTTTGTGCCAGATGTCATACCAGTTGATGAGAATGTGAAGATTAATGTCATGGCCCTGCCTTCAAGCAGTCAGATGAGCCAGTAGATCACAACATAGCATAAATATTATGGAGGTGGGAACAGGGGAGTCTTGCAAATTTGTAGAAGATGTGTAGAACACTAAATGAATTTGAGGATGCTACTGAAAGGGGTGCATTTTTTTCTAAACAGCATTTTTGAGAGAGAGTTCACATACCATACTTATTTAAAGTGTATAGGGATGCATTCTTAAGCAGGATGCTCTCTTGGCCAAATTCTCGAATATAAATGGGAGTTGGCTGATTCTTTGGGCTTGCAAGGCAGGAGTCTGTAGCCTGTTTCAAAACATAGAAGTAAAAGAAATCATGATACTCTGAGGAAAACTGCCACTAGTTTAGGCTACTAAGTATACATGGAGAGAATGGGATAACAGTGCAAGGTGAGGTTGTAGGGGTTAGGTAGACTGCAAATCAAGAAGGGCCTGATATGTCTCTGCTATTTGGACTTAAATCTGAGAGCAGTGGGAGCCCTTCAAAGGTTTTAGGTAGGGGAATAATATGATCAGATTTAGAAAGCAGAGTAGAGAATGAATGCATAGAAGGTGAGCTGAGATGGAAGACAGAGCCTGGTAGCTGAGCCCTGTTACCTCCAGTTCCAGTAAAGGCAAGAACATTCAGAGTTGAGGTGGAGAGTTTTGGACTATTTAAAGTGAACTAAATGGCACCAGTAGAGCTCAAGGATCAATTGCATGTGGGTAGGATGAGAATGGATGACTCAAAATCTTATCACGTAGGTAGAGGCACAGGAGGACCAGGCAACAAACTAGGAATAGAGCAAGAAGAATTGATTTTGGCTCAGGGTGGTGATCCTAATATAGTTTTAAATGAAACATATCTAGATAACACTGGGGGCATTTCAGTAGGGGGGACTAAGCTTTGAGTAATTAGAATAGACATGTAAAAGTGGGGACTAATTAAATTCTAGTAAGAAATGGTGGGTCAGATTCAAGGAAATTTTAAAAGAATTTCTGTGGATACTAGGTGTAGTTGATTGAATGATGGATGCTTTGCTTCCCCAGAAGGATATCAGACCATAATGCCTGAAATCTAGAACTGTTGTCTTATTAGAATAAAGGGTCTTCGCAGATATGTCTAAAAGATCTTGTGGTGGGGAAATGATCCTGGATTACCTGGGTGGGCCTGATCCAATCAGTTGAAAGGCATTAAGAGCAGAACTGAAGTTTCTCAAAGGAGGCAAAGAGAACATAGTATAGTGGTTGAGACTGGGATGATATGAGGCCACAAGTCAAGGGATGCTGGCAGTTACCAGAAGATGGAAGAGGTGAGGAATGGATTTTCCCTTAGAGCCTCTGGGGGACTGCAACCCTGACTGGACCTTGACTTTAGACTTCTGGCCTCAAGAACTATGTGAGAATAAAATTCTGTTGTTTTAAGCTAATACGTTTATGGTAATTTTTTTTTTTTATAGCAGCCAAAGGAAACCAGTACACTGGGCTTTTCATCTCCTCTAATCCTTAACAGTTATTTCTGTACTGAACCTATGTATAAAGGCATATGACTACATACTGATA